AAAAAATGGTAATAATAATAATTAGTAGTGGTTAATCTAATTGAAAAATAAAAATAAAAATAAATGAAGAGGCAAAGTAAGCAACAATTGGCAGTGGTCCATATGGTGAGACGGGTTGAATATTGCCACGCTCACACCATGACAAAGGACTCTCATGCGGATAAAGCCAATTATGATTATGATTTCATGTCTTTGACCTACACAACCTTTATTAACTTTTAGTCAATACGAAACACACACGTAGTATGTAAGAAATTATGTTGTTTCTTATGAATTTGAAATTTTCATATTATTTTGCGCATGAGATAAAATTATGATCGGGCTCGACCTATACTCAAATTCAATGGTAAAATATTTTAATTGAAATTCTAATAGTTACAAATCTAATAGTATAATTTTCGTTGAAAAAATCAATAAATATGAATACTAATTCCATCTTATTTAAATTTTCCTTCAAATTTTAATTAAAATTTATTAATTCCAATCGTATATTCTTATATAATTTTTTTGTTAAACTTCTTTTTTGCAATATTTCAACCGTTGGAATCATTGTCGTTCGAATAATCAAAAACCATCGGAACTTCCATGAAGAAATAATTTCAACGAAATGTTTTCGTTGGAAACTCTATTGAAATTGTGAAAGCATTGGAATATCGAAATTGTTGAGGTCTTAAAAGAAAAACAACGAACGAAAATATCCCCTACAACAAATAGACCAACAGAAACGAATCGGAAAATAGATTTTGCTCTCACTTTATATCATCAATCCAACTGCCAATGGTGCATCCAATTATGTTTCTCAGTGCCATCTCAAATGTGTTCGATAATGTTCAAATCTAATCAATATTCAAACTTGACTGCTGTCGCTTCGGGCATTATATCTACAAAATTCCCCGTCGTCGTAATTTTTTTCAAAACAACATTTTCATCCTACATAATCTTCCGCACAGTGATAAAAAGTTAATTTAAAAACATTAATATACTTTGTTCTTGCATGAAATATTTAAATTTTCACTAAGTGAATAACACTCGAACAATCACGATGAACTATGACGTGCCTTTGACCAACTCTCAAATTTTCACGCAAACTTTTATTTATGTTATTTTTTATATTATGACATTTCAATTTGAGAATATACATACTTGTTGAATAAATGACCGTCTAACCATTAAATTTGACTAAAGCCGGTCTTACTGTATAACAAAATTTTACTATTTCATGCCCAAAAACACAAGCACGAGGTAATAATTTTTTAAAAATGGCAAAGAAAAATTCACATGCATATGCATGTAACAAATAAATGTCACTAGTAGCCTGCAGATTACAAGAGGCTCAGATAATTAAATATTTAACATATTGTACACAAACTATATAAGGACTCTTAATTAACAGGGCTTACTCGAGAAACACACACGCTGCTGAACATCATTTGCAGATCTAGACTATTAGATAACCAAAGTCTTGCCTAGCTAACTCATATTAAATGTAACTTATTCAATCTTGGAACTTTAAAATACTATCCCAATATTCAAAACCAAGAACCTAGCTTTATATATATAATATATATAGCTTGACAAAATGAGATAAATAACAAGAACAACATGAGAAAAATACTAGTATGTAATTATATATAAGAAGCATCTCATAAATTCTTTAGCTAGCATCTGATATTTTGGGTCACCAACTAGGAAGGAGTGATGCTGTCAGAGCATGACCTATCTTGGGTTAACTTTTGCATTTTTTTTTTCTTTTTTTTTCTTCTTCTCTTTTTGATCCTATTAAGGGAAAAAAAAAATCTCTCCCTTATTATCCTATCAAGATAAAAAAATCAAAATTAACCCAAGATAGATCATGCTGGCAGCTTCACTTGTTCCTCTTGTAGACTTGACTGCAAAAAGTTGCTAGGCCAACTAACACTCTCATCATCCAAAATGCAATAATGACAGTGTTATTTTTTCTCTTATTATGAACTCTCTATTATTTTTTCTCTTTCATTTTTCTTTTTTTTTTTGTTCTTGTGTTCACAAAATGCAATAATGACAGTGTTAATAATATGACAATTAGTATATGACAATTACTATATGCTCATGTGAGAAAATGTGGTAAAAGATGAAAAACAAGAAAACCCATTTTCTCATCATTCTCTTTCACATTTCTTTCTTTCCCCTTTTGAGAAGAGTATATACACCATTTGAAATAAATTCCACTATTAAGAAAGATGGGGTTTTATAATTTACTTTGTGAGGAATTGTGAAAAAAAAAAAGCAAAAATTAATTAAGCAACTGAAACCCTTAAAGAAAAGTTTTAGAGAGGAGAAAGTAGTGATAGAAGAAAACACATGAAAGTAATTTATACAGTTTGACCAACGACATTACACAAGTGCGTTGTTATTTATACAAGGAGAAATGGATGATCATGAGAAAATAACAAAAGAGACAAGCTCACATTTCTTAACAGTGATAATTAAAAGCCTTGTCATGTGGGCAGCTAAGAAAAAGAGGTGATGATCAAAATCAATAAATTTACAGCTAAAAAGCTGCAATTTTCCTATAGCTAGGCATATATAGCTTAGCTAGAATTTCATTAATTAGCCATCAATATTAGGTTGTGTTGTAATAAATAGTCATAAAAATTAAAATTAGACTATTGGATTAAATAATGTAGTCCTACTTTATTCAAATTTGGACAAAGATATTCCTTATTCTGTACGAGTGAAAAGAAAAATGAAGCACACATAAATAATTATATTTGTCCAGTCCACAGATACTCCACATATACTGTATATTATGAAATGTTTAATTCATGTATGAAAAATATTAGTCTCATATTTGAACCACAAATTATTAAATTTCATTTTACAATATAAGGTGGGACGAGGTCACTTTGAAAACTGGCTCCTTCAGTTCTACAATTATTGAGTTTCATAATCCATAACCTACTAAAATCTAAAGCAAATACAAGAAACGAGAGCTGTCAGGTTTTAAAGAACTGCATCGCTCTTTGCTAAAAAGCACTGAAAAACCATAAATGTTAATTGCATGTTAAATATGCAAAGAGTACAGTCTTTAAATCCTATATAATTCTACATAGCAGAAGGTAGGTGAAAGACAGAAAGAGTACAGAAAACTGTCTTTAATATGCTAATAAGTAATATCTCTCTTTTTAAACAGACAAGACCCAATGTTTTAATATTGGTTTTTATAATATCATACTGCTGTGGTGTAATTTCATGTCAATCATTTTCAACTTAATACTACTGTGTATCCAGAGATGTGCCTCGTGGATAATGGGTGGATTTGTTTAAATCCACTCCTTATTTTTGGAAATTAAAATGTCAATTTTTGTATTCTATTCAATTCTTTCTACTTTCAAACTTACAAAGATCTTATCAACTTTAAATACAAGTATATTTTAACTTTTCTTTATATGTATATCAAATTAATCATAATTTGACTATATTCGTTTTGCATCCTATTGATATAAAATAAAAAATTATTATATCTATCTTTATAAATAAAAGCTCTATTAATTTTATTGTATATTATGAGTTAAAAGTTTACTATAGGGTAGAAATATAAATAATAATGTATTGTTAAAAAAATTAATTAGAAATTTAGAATAAAAATGTTTATTTTTAATTTTGAAATATAAATTACTTAATTGGTGCAGTATATAATTATTCAGAATTTTAAAATACAAATTTTCCTTCTTTTTTTTTTCAGTTGGTAAAATACACAGTTAGTATACAGTAGTTTTAATTGAAACACTAAGTACATACTTTATTTTCTAGTTAAACAATAGAATTTCATTATATAACCGTTAATGCATATCGTTACTCATACACACCATGTAGAATTCAAAGGAACCTTTGCCATCACAGAAAAATCATACATTATCGACATTGAGATGACCAATCTTCTCAACTCCCATATGAGAAAAATCCAGATTATTTCTTAAGACTCCTCGTGTAATATGAAAGTTGACCCACAAATCTGACCTGAAGTGTCAACCCATGCTGTTGGCTTCAATTGTTTGTGGGCAAACTCAAAGCTTCTCAAGCCACCAGAAGACGAGTAATAGCAGCCCAATTAAGTAAGTAAGTATTAGATACTGATGCAAATTTGTATGATTATCAATAGTATGATGCAGAAAACATGTAAAAGATAAACTGTGAGAAGGCGAATATGTACCCAATCGCTCAGTTGCCAAAAATACTAATTGCTCAAGAGTGGATCGATATTTGTTAGGAAAATACAAATCAAGAGGATGATTTTGAAAAATTATAGGGTTCTCTCATAAGTCTAAAAGGCTAAACATTAAAACGGGCATCACTAACACCTTTTGCAATCTTGAAAATCATTGCATTAAAATTCGAAAATAATCAATAATGTCGAAATACATTTGTGATCAGAGATAGACATCACATATCTGGCACGAATCAGATAATAACTATCAAAAGCCCTAGCTGCAGAAAATCAGATAACGTGAACTAAAAATGGCATGGCTATTACCTTCCAGCAAGCCTTCTTCACAACCGCCTCATCATCAGAAAAAACGAGACTATCATCCATATCAACTCCCCAAAAGAAAGGCACACTTCCATCAGCATCCTATAAAAACCATTATTAAAATAAATGAGCAGAGAATATGGAATTCTGAAANAAAAAAAAAAAAAAAAAAGAAAAAAATTAAAGGAAGGTGATTCCACTTTTATAACCAGAAATTTGTACGGTGGCGTAATAACTCACTCCAGCATCAAATACAGACTTTTAGATGGTGTCGTAAAGTACGAACGCAAACTTTCCTTTCAAGTCTCGAACAACATGGTTAGCAGGATAAGGACCTCTGTCCCTAGGAGTTCGGTATGCCTCTATTATGATGCTAACTTCATTAGCTGTTTTCGTCAATCCATACAGCTGTTTTAAAGGGGTTATGTTCTCTGTATGCCCTTGGAAGAGACAGAAAATGCCATCCACGGCAGGAAATAATCTGGCTCGACAACAAAAGCGAACATGAAAGTCAGTCCAAACCCAATTGAATTCAAAAGCTGCGCTTGAGATTTACTCTAAGGAATTAAGACAAAGAAAATCAATAGCAAACAATGAAAAATGGCTAATACTATTCCCACACGCAAAAAAAATCTACTCAAATGACGTACTTCCTCGGAAACTACAGATGGTAAAGGCATAGCACTAAAAAATTCTAGTAAAATCACGTCAATTTGTTCTGAATCTTAACCAACTTCCATATATATCCTCCAATCACTCCATCAATTCAAAATCTATAATCAGCATTACAAGTAAACATAAAACTCAACATAATATGCCCCAACATTTCATTCAGATACACTCGCATTACGGATTGATAAAGATATAATCCTGCGAAACTGTAGCGAAACACTAAAACTGGTGTCAATTTGTTTCGATTTTCACTCAAATATCTTTATCCAACCTTAGCCCGTGTGTATATATATATCCTCCAATCACTCCATCAATTCAAAGCGAACACTCATCATTACAAGTAAACATAAAACTCAGCTCTCAATCACAATTTCGACAAAAATGACAGCATAAGACGCCTCAATCATCAATTGAATTTAACCCCAACAGCTCATTCAAGCAAACCCTTATTCCCACATACACTCTCCAAACCACAGCACGAAAAAGCCATTGACATAAAATTACAGATTCCAATAAGCACGCTGTCTTACCTTGGAAGAAGAGGGTTTTGCTTGCGCGAGGAGTAAACGATGAAGCCCGAGGGGTGCGAGTACTGTGGGGCCAAAGTGCAAAGGCCGTTAATAATACCGCGTAAACAAAATATAAGGACTGTACCAATTTTCTCCCTTATTTCGTTTTCACATATTCTTCTTGTGAGAGGGCTATGCTTATAAATCTATCTCCAAAAATTACTCAATAGTTTATAAATGAATTTTGAGTTTAATACTTTATAAAATGCTTATAGTTGATCTTGGTAAAACTCGCTATGTAATACAAGTGTTTTAGTAAGATTGACTAATAAATTAGCTGAAATAAAATTTCACATAAAAGCTACATAAAAAAGTTTATGAGATATGTCTTTTTTCAAAGCTACATAAGAAAATTTATAAAATATATCCTACCAAAGCTATACCGGTCACTTTTAATATATTTATAGTTGTAGAGAAGTTTCGTTGAAAGTCTATTTTACAGTTTTACATTTTTATTATTTATTTCTTAATTGATTTCTCCGGTAGAATCAAATCTGTCTGCATAAAACACCCTTAAATTTCACAAATTGTATTCCAAGTACTTACTAGCTACAATTCCCTCTAACACCTCATAGTCTTCAAATATTCGTAACTTTGGATATAACATACATATCATGCCATTATACATACTGACTCATGGATCAATATTTCCATGGACCCATTAACACATTGATATCCCACAAATACACACAGACCCCCCTATATTAGATCACNACCAAAAAAAAAAAAAAAACCAAATCACCAGACATCATGCAACTCATGGCTCGTCTGAGCTCTGTAACCCCCAAACATCTCTAATCTCTCCACAATCTCATCAAGCTTCTCGTATATCTCGTCAGACATCGGATGACACCTGTCACCCATAAAAAACGTGTGAACCTCGTTCTCAATCTCGATCCAACTGCAGCCCGGATCCTTTTTCAAGCCCTCTGCCTTCATTCTCTTTCTCACTCTTCCAACATCGTCCCATTTACCAGCCGAGGCGTATAAGTTGGATACGAGCACGTAGTTTCCCGGGTTTTCGGGCTCGAGCTCGAGAAGCTCGTTCGCGGCTATTTCGCCTATTTCCGTGTTCGAATGAGTTCTGCACGCGCTTAGGAGAGCGCACCACACAGCTGGCGTGGGGCCCGGTTTTTTCATGGTTTTGACGAGTTCGAATGCTTCCTCCAAATAATTCGCTCGGCCGAGAAGGTCGACTAGGCAGACGTAGTGTTCGGGCCAGGGCTCCAAATCGTATCGATTTTGCATGGTGTCGAAAAAGATTTTTTTCCCTTGGTCGACTAACGACGAGTGGCTGCACGCATGGAGAAGGGCGAGAAAGAGAACGTGATCGGGGGAAAGACGTACGCTTTTTTTTCCCTCCATTTTTTCGAATAATTCGAGGGCTTTCGTGCCCTGGCCGTGCAATCCGTGCGCATTGATCATGCTCGTCCACAGAACCAAATCTTTATCGTCCTCGACAGAATCGAAAACCTTGATCGAGCTATCGACGGCGCCACAGCTGGCGTACATATCGACGAGCGAGCTCGGGATGGATTCCCATAAGTGAAGGCAGTTTCGAATCAAGAAGGCGTGAATCTCTTTGCCTTTCCTTAAAGCCGATAAATTCGTGATGGCCGAGAGAACACACAAGAGTGCAACCGGGTCCAGCTCGATGCCCGATTTCACCATTTGAGTAGAAAGTCGGAGAGCATCGTGTGCATGTCCGTTGTGGACGTGACAATCGATCATGCTCGTCCAAGAAACGACGTCTTTATTTTCTATTAGTTTAAATACGTTTCGAGCGTAACCCATTTGTTCGCACTGTCCATATATGTCAACAATAGTGTTTTGAAGCACGATATCGGATAAATTATTTCTCACTACGTAGCAATGGATCTCTTTTGCTAGCGAGACACATTTAAGGCCCCGACAAGCTAGGAGAACACTCCCGAGCATCGTTTTATCGACACGAATCCCTTCTAGAAGCGCTTCCCTTAACGATTGCACACCTTTTGTGTAATGAAAGTTCTGAATGTAACCGGATTGGACTGTCGTCCATGAAATGTAATCTTTTTCGGTAATTCTTGAAAACGAGGTCTCCATATAACCTGTGTTACGGCACTTTGCGTACATGTCCGTGATCGTGTTGCCCACTTCAAGTCCAGATCCCATCCCGTTCTTCAGAGCGAAAGCGTGAGTTTCCATTCCGTTTAAAATATTTCTCGATTTTCCACAAGCTGAGAGAACACTGATGACAGAGACTTGGTCGGGTCCCTTGCCTGATCTAATCATCTCATGGAAAAAATCGAGCGATTCGTCGTAAAGCCCGTTTTCCACGTAAGCATCCAACATCGAGTTCCAAGAAAAGTTGTCCTTATGACCAATACCATGAAAAATTCTGGCCGCCTCGTTTACTCTGCCGAATTTGGAGTACATGACGAGAAGAGCATTACCAACATACCGGTCAAAACAGAGAGCTGATTTTATCCCGACAGCATGAGTTTGCATCCCGGACAGAAGGTCCTCACAGGCCTGAAGAACAGCAACAAATGTGTACGTGCTTGGGGCGACATCAGCATCCTGCATTTCTATAAAAGCCTTCCAAGCTTCTCTTGCCATACCATTTTCAACATACGCAGAAATCATCAAGTTCCACAAAACTACATCTCCCGATCTCATTCCCCCTCCGAACAACAGCTCGGCCGATTTCAAATCACCACACTGTGCATATACACCCACCAGCGAGTTCACAACAACTCCATTGCCTAAAAATCCAGACTTTACCGCGTACCCATGAATCTCTTTCCCACAGCATATATCCTCGACTTGCGAACACGCCTTCAACATGCAGCTACAAGTATGGGCATCTGAATGAATACCCGATAACCTCAACTCAGCATACAATTTGATTGCTTTCATAGGCTCCCCATTCGAGATATAAGCACCGAGCATGGCATTATAGGTGAAAATACTTCTCTCCGCCATTTCATCGAACACGTGCTGGGCATCCAACAACGACACGCATTTACCGTACATGAGCACGAGCTTAGTGCGCAGAAAATGCAAGTCGCGGGTTTTGTTACGCTTTATGACGTGGGTGTGGATTTGCTTACCAATTGGTAATGAGCTTTGGGTGGCACAGTGATCGAGGGCCGAGGCATAAGCTTCATCCAGAGGCTGGTTGAAGCTGCTGAGAGATAATTTGTGTGTGAGTGATGAAAGGGCTGATTTTGAGTGGGTTTGTATATGTGGGGTCTTGAGAAGTTGGGGTTTGGAAGGCGGGGTGGAGATGAAGTTTGTGGGTTGGATTAGCGTCGCCATAGCCCTGCTTTCTGCATGGGAAGACGACGAATATAATAACTGCGAGTGTTAATAAATAAAATCATAACTATTGTTATTGTCATATCAACAACACTTCCGTTGTCGTCCAGTGGTTAGGATATCTGGCTTTCACCCAGGAGACCCGGGTTCAATTCCCGGCAACGGAATACATTTTTTTTCCCATTTATATCCTCAAATTAAGCATCACAATAGTTGTCAAATAGCATAATTTTTCCTCCAATATGTTTCATTCACCATTTTCATTTACATTCACGTCCAAAATGAAAGCATAACAGAAAGAACAACTTTAAGGCAATTAAATCAGAAAACTTAGGAGAACAAAAAGGGGGTCTGAATTCTTGTAAACCCCATTAGTGTTGAGTAAAATAATTAATTTACACAATCCCCAAACTGTTTCTTTTACATTCACAAGGAAAGAACAAAAACAAAAGTAGAGCCAAAGCTAATGCCCAAAAACCTCACTCACTCACAACTTTCACATCCATTTCCAGGCACAAAACAAAAGCTTTTTTCGTTCTATACAACCCCTTTTTAGTGTACACACCGCGCCATCTTCAGTAAACCTAACTACACTCACACATACCCCAAAACACGGCGGGCCTCATCTCCCCCAATTCATTTTATACACGCGCCACATAAGTTTTTTTGACCGATTTACCCCTGGTTCATCGAAACCACCCTCAAGCTCTCGTCGGGCAGCGTCCACGATACAAGGTGCCCGCCCGAATCCCCACTCAGCAACTGCTTCAGATCGCTCGACAAATGTATTGCCGTAACCGGAAACTTATGCGCCTTGAGCACCTTATGCAGCACGAGCCTATACTCGGGCACTTTTCCCCCGAGCCCAAGCCCAGCCGACGGGCTCCCCCCCACACCACCACCACCACCACCCGACTCAGTGTGGTGCACCATCCTCCAAACCTTCACGGCCCCACTTTGATGACCCGACACATACCAATCCGCATCCATCCAGTCCGAAAACGTGCATCCGGTCAACGAGAGAATAAAGTCCGACGGCAGCTGCGACGTGTTGACCGCCGCCAGGCAGTCCCCGTTGACGCTCCAGACGGCGAGCATCACTCCGGCGGCCGTCACGACTTCTCCGGTGAGGTCGTTCACGTAAACCGCCGAGACGGGCGCCGGGAACTCCGGCAGCTGGCGGACGAAGGCGAGCGAGCTCAGATCCCAGACGATGACCGTGCAGTCGTCCGACCCGCTCACGACCATCATGTATGGCTGGCTGACGTGGAGGCACGTCACTCGTCCCGTGTGGCCGGAAAGCGCCCTCTCGAGCCGGAGCTGTGGGGCGGCGGCGCGGTGGCTCGGCCCGCCAGAGGAGGAGAACCGCCAGACGCAGACGAGGCCGTCGTCGGCTCCGGTGACGAGGAGTTGTCCGTCGTGGGAAGCTCCGGCGCACTGAATCTGAGCTCCGGCGTGGAGGCTCTCGTGGGTGGAGATGAGGCGGTCGGACTCGTACGAGACGAGGCGGAGGGTGCGGTCGGGAAAACCCCACGAGACGTATTTGGTGAAGGTTCGGGGCTTGAGGAGGCTCGTGGGGCCCGCGAGGAGGATCTTGTCGGCGAGGGAGACGATTTGGGAGATGGGGGAATGGGTTTTGCGGGGCTCTTGGTGGGGGACGAGATGGGAAGAGTGGCGGAGGGGGTGGGGGAAGGGTTTGCGGTCGGTTCGACGCTTGACGTGGGGTTTCGGGAAGAGCTGTTTAGGGGTCTGGCCGAAGTGGTTGATCTGGGCCAGGATCGAGGCTTTCATGGAAGGGTCGGTTACCGAGTCGATGTCCACGCTGCCTTCGTACGTGTAGTGGTAGAAAACGTTCACGGCTTCCTCCGCAGCCTGGTGGATAATTATAATAATCGAAAAAAAAAAGTTAATAAATAAATTAATGAAATAAGACTATGTTTGGTGAGACGAGCTTTTTTAAGAAGCCCGAGCTTATCTCATAAGCTTCTTTAGGTAGCTTTTCAAATAAGCTCGTTGAAATTTTTATTTTCAGCAGCTAATTTTACCAAACAAGCTCGAAAATCACTTATAAGCTATAAGCTAAGTTATCAGCTACTTGAACAAACATAACCTAGATGTTTGGAACAAGACACTTGATGGATAGTTGAGGGAGTACTCACCTTCCCTCTCTGTTTGTATCCAAAAATGAGGTCTATCCAATGATGGAGACGCTCGGAAACATAATCGGACTCCAATGCTTCCCGATGCTTCTTGATGAATTCCCGAGCACTGCCCTTAGCCCATGGAGGCAAGACGACGTCACCAACCTGACACAAAAGGACATTCGGTAACTAGCACAAACGCATATAAAAGTGAAAATACTATTTAGAGAACTTCGACAAAACCTTCTCCCCAGATTGCTTTTCGCCCAAGTCGAGATTGAACCGGTTTTCCAAGAATTCCGGCATATAGAAGAACTCTGGAATCAACTCCTTGACATCTGAAGTGTTGCCTCTACCAGCAGCACTCAGCCAGGTGTCACGAATGCTGTTGAAAAGACGGTCCGCATGGTCAAACTGCCCACCCTGCAGCTTTTGGTTCTCGGTACTGAAGGGAGGCAAGCGCAAGAGATAGAAGAGAACGATTCCAGCACTTGAATAATGAGAACCGTAATGGAATTTCGGAACTTCTGGATCATCCCAGCTCTCATATCTAAGATATAAAATTTTACATTTAATTTCACATATATGGTTATTCGTATATTAGTTAAGTGCACAAGAGAGGAGCTGACCTCTTCTGGAACTCCTCTTCTCCTTCAGGTGTCTGACAGCCCATTGGTTTTTCGAGCTTCCGGAATGTTTTTGGATCTGACAAATCGAGATTCTCACTTTCGTAGTCTGCAAGGACCCACGGAAAAACTGGGTACTGTGTCAGATCACTATATCCACGACCCGCCAAGGTGTTGAGATGCATAATATACTGAAAGTTGCTGATCTCTCCATTTTGCCATCTCTTGGAGAATGATTTAGCCATGACCTTGAAAAGACGGCTGCCTTCATTGACGTCTTGTTTAGTTGACCCAGATATTGTTGCATCTAAACTGTAAGAGTATAAAAGGAAACTGTAAGAAAAAATTAGGCAGCCAAACAGACATTTCTGAAGGGATGATGAGGATGAGNAAAAGCATAGCCAGGAAGAACTCGACCACTTACATGCTATTTCTGGGAAGATTCATGGCCACCAAATTCTTGAAAACTTCTTCTCTCTCCTTTTTGTGGAAAACTAACAGGTCATTGCAACCATCCATACTGAAAATCTCGATTGCAACCGGGCGAAGCTGATAATCACGCCTCAGAAGCTCGTGCACGCTATCGAGCTTCCACATACGCCAAAGATGAGGCACATTACCACTGCTCCCGACTTTTTCCTTGCCCCAGGCACCACCATTGTACGCCCATGCCCTACCTCCCGAATATGCCTTCGATGTAGCACCCCACGATGAAGTCGATTTGGATTGTGAATCCATCATGCTACACGAAAAATCTTTCTTCACACCCAACGCCTGATCGATGATGGATAGTTCATCTTCGCTCTCTTTTTCGCATATACAGCCAGATTCATCGATATAAAAGTTCTCGATCACGTACAGTGAGAGTTCTCCGATAAGAAATATACCGTCATGTTTGTCGAGGCCGACAACCCTTTCACAGTTGTACTTAAACTTGATCTTTTCAAGAGGCTCCAGATAAGGCCTGATCAGATACTCACCGTTATCGTTCAGTTCTTTATCGGACTTCTCCTCTGAAACTCTAACTTCATCGATTCTTAAGGAAGACGATTGTGCAGGAGAACCTATCTCAGACTTCCCCAGTATACTCTCTGCTCTGAGAGTTGAAGGAGCACTGGACTTAACACCAAATTCAGTAGCAGAATATAGACTGGCTTCGTTTATGCTACTCTCCCGATCATCATTCCACCCGACCCCGGAAAAAGCTACATCCCGAGCATCATCCGATTCTTTGATAGTCGACTCGTCAAACAATTCACCACTAAACGATTCATCCTTGGGCTTGGCGGTCAAAAGATTGAAAAAGCCTTCCGATTCGCCTTCACATGCAGGGTCGTCTTCATTTTCCGTTTTCTCCTTGGACAGATCTGATTCACCCAATAGAAAATGCCCATCCAGTACAGTCTGGATGGTGTCTATCTTCAGCTTACACCGCTCGAGCTTTTTCCTCATCCTATACGGGCCCTCAATGGGGCAAAGATGCCACTCGGGCTCCTCCTGGTTCATCACGGATCTCGAAATCGGGAATATTCCGCGCTCGTGTATAAGTTGCTGGAGATGAGTCTGCCACTCGCTCTCCGCATGGAGGACCCACCCGTACTTATCCTGACGGATGACACGCAATTCGGTAGCCATATGGTCACGAACCATTTCAAGGGCAAATCTCCTTTCATTCACCTGCTCCCAATGTCTCTGATCCAATTTCGAGTTGTCCCTCGATTTTCTCCCCATCTCTCTCTTACGACGACTATCCATCCCCTTTATCCTCACTCCCGGAAATTTTGCAGACCCCGCAATGTACTGTACCCACATAATCGCGGCACACTGCTCCAACACTTTCTTCACAACCGACTCCGAACGGTGTAGCCATTCGAAAAAATCGGATAGATTTCCGGTCAGGAGCTTATCAAAACCGCCGTGTAAAACATTCAACGACGGCCCCTGGTTTGCTTTAGAGACGAGAAACTCCTCGAGTGCAGACCTCCGATGGACAAGGAGATACTTCAGAATATCGACAGCTGTACTCTTTACATTCTGTCGGTGGTCGTGGAGGAGAGAGATCAAGTTTATGCAGAGGCAGCAGTTGAGATCCGTTTCGAGATTACTCGGGCAGAATATAATCCGCCTGTGAGCCACCAGCAACTGTAGCACTGTGAAGATATCGTTGCCCTCTTCTTCTGGAGAAGAGTGAAGAGACACTCTTTTCCGAGGCTCACCGAGCAAGCCCAGATGAGAAAGGAGGTCATCTTCCCCTATGGTGAACAAGAACGTCGGGAGGAAACAGTACAATATCATCCGATTCGTGTTCTTAAAAAGCGCGTGTATGTAAGTATCGAGCTGTCTGCTCCCTCTCCCGATAGAAAGCAGTCCCTTTCCTGCTGGAGCTGCTTCCTCAACCCGGCCATCTTTATTAGCCAACTGCAACATGGATAACAAGAACTCTAGGGTTTTCAACACGCCAGCTGGCTGGGGAAAAGCTCCCATGTAGACACGATCGACTATGATCCAGGAAAGTGCGTCTAAGTTCAGTGACCATCGGCTTTTATCTAATTTCTTCTCGTCTTCCTCGTCGTCCCGCAAGAGGCGCCTCTCGAGGAAGTTCATTAATCTGGTGAGGCACAGTCCTTGAAAAACTAGAACAGATTCGGAATCGGCATGCAGAGGCACGCTTTCTAACACGGCCTCCACAATCGGAGTGGCTTTCATCTGCTCGGTTACGATTCCGGACAGAACTTCTGCTACTAAATCGAGGATTGCGGCTGCACCAGCAGAACACGGGCCGCCTCCATAGCCACAGTCATCCACCTCGAGAAGAAGCTTCGCGCTAATCTCTAACATCATGTTTGATGCGGATTGAGACTGTGAAGCAGACTTCACATCCGAAGAAGGATCAGCAGTGTCACTCATGGATATAAATGAATCCAAGGACTGAGGAGTCGAAGCTGGTTGGGTTTTGGGGTCATTTCGGGTAGAACCCCCGAGCCAGGATGTCAATGCCAGAGCAGGTGATGGTGTGGGGGGAGAGATCCTGAGATTAGATCTCTCGGATGAAATCGGGGATTCAGGAATTGTTAGAGATAAAGAACTCTGCGAATCGTTTTGGTGATTTGGTCGGTTTTTAGCATCAGGAAAAGTGAATTCGTTATCAAAAGTATTTTTCTCTGATTTGTTCGACTCTGATTGGCCAATGGCTTCTCTATCAAAAGTATCCACAGCTTGTGTGTCTTTTTTCTCTGATTTGTTCGACTCTGGCTGTGTTGAGGAGATATCGGTCTCTGGTTTATCGCTTGCTGGAACATTTGGAAAAATAGGCATATCTTCTGAACTAGCACTGACATTTCCCTGGGGGAAGCTTCCTATACTGATAGAGGTCTTTGCTGACTGGTCATGGTCTTGATGAGGCAAGCTAGAGAAGGTATTGTGGGAGCTACTGCTATCCTCAGCATCATTCAAATTCTTGTCTTCGGTTTTTACGACGAGTTCTTTCGCCATCCTCACGGCTTGTGAAGCCCTGAGTGAACAAAGGGAGAGTTAATTAAACTGAAGCTAACCAGCCATAGCCAATAAATTGACATTATCAAAAATAATGAAGCCCGGCAAACACTAAAGGTAAGATCATACCTGACACAGGAAAAATAGAGGTCGATACAGCTTTCAAGAAACTCGGTACGTCTGCAGACAGCTGAAAAGGGTGGACACATTTTCGCAAGATCGACCATAAATCTCAAAACGGAAGTTGCAGCTGCAGGTGCTGATGCCTCTCCACCCATCAAACGAGCCGCATAAGTTTTATGCATCAAAGCTTCACCTTGGAGCTCTCCAGCATTGTCTACATTCCCATCTATAAGCTCAGCCACGAGGCTAGCACCAACCTGAGAAAGATTTCCAGTTTGATACGCAAACATTGACTGCATGCATAACCTGTCGAACGTTGATTTTGCCATAGCAATAACAGACTCGAGAAGTTCTATGAATTTCAATTCTCCATAACTGCCATCGCTAGGCATGAGCGCGTGAAAGTCGAGCATGCGAACTTCAGGGAGTCTTGGATATACAGGCTTTCCAAACATCAGACAAAATAAAATGTAATATATATCAGGAGAATCATAAAAACTCGGAAGCACCCTCGCCAAACCTTGATAACCACCACTCGAGCGAAATTTAAGTGCAAATGTAGGTGAAGATGCGAGGCACACGCCCAGAAGAGTCATGATCCATCTCATACTGGTAGGATGAACAGCCTCATCAAGAAAATAAGTTATCAATTTTGACGAAACGATTTTATGCCACTGCTCAAGTAGCTCCTCAGATTGGATGGTCACCTGGAGGTCAATCAGCATCTCAAGCAACATATTTCTTACAATAACATGTTTACCCATCGGTTCACGCGTAATTTGACTATGTGACGTCAGGTCAGGTGGATCAAATGTCATAATCACAAACCTAACCACGAGTTCCAGTTCAGAAGGAAGAAATCCGTCTTCCAGAATCACGCCAAGTAACACGACTAATTTTTCAAGAACCGGGACTTCAACATCGCCCCTCTGCAGCGTCACGAGTAAATGTTGAACGAGATTAATTCTGCGAAGAATCGTAAGGTTGTGATTTCTATACCAATGCATCGAAACTAAATGCTCGAGAAATCCAAGTAAGGAAATTTGAATTGGGACTGGAGCTGTCACCCAGAGTGTCCAATCCAACAAGACGTGCTCAACCATATCAGCATTAGACAGAACAATGCAGTTAGATGTCTCTGTGGGGACATCGGTGTGTTCCAACTCTGAAATATGACTAAAAGTATCTTTTGGAACAGAAAAATCATCCATATCCGCCTGTGATCCAACCGACGAAAATTCATCTTGAAATTTCGATAAACTGAGTTCTTCAAAGTTGGTCCCATTCATGGTGGAAGCAGGTGATAGAGCATTTTGCACTCTTCCAACCTTTCTCGGTTCAGAGAAAGAAGCCTCACAAGCAGCAATTTGGAAAAAGATCTCGAGTGATTGCATGTCGAACAATGACATTCTGCGGTGAAGAAAAAGAGCTAGCAAGTGGTATCCTCGGTACTTCTGCATGTCTCTCACGTTCTGAGGATTCTGATGAAGTGCACATGCCAGCAATGTCAATGACATGTGAAGCATATCTCTAGTTTCAGCAGCCTCAACAAGTGCAAGCACAACAGCCATGCCACCAACTGGGCGGATTGTATCACCAATTACGCACTGCTTACAGATATAAATATCACCTTGAAGTCGACCAAAACGGGGTATTCCTGGAAAATTTCCACCGCAAAAAAAAAATAACAATAATAAAAATTAAATAAAAAGATAACTAGCTAAAGTATAGCAATCAAAGTGTGATATAGAGTAAAGATTCCTTTATTCACTTACCGCCAATAGGAGAAGCAGCAGCAGACTGGGGATCGACTAGATTCAGCATCGATAAACTTCCAGATGATCTAAACATTTCTGTACTAGTTCCATCAAACGCAAATATCAATTTCTTACCCCACAATTGCAGGGACAGATTTCCTAACTTATCAGAATCCCAAACAATTCCACTATGATCCACCTTCGAGATCCCTAGTTTGCCAGCAGCACTCTCTTGCCTTTGTGCATTATTAGATGTCAGAGGCAATTCTGTATCTAGAGAATCTAAAATAGCCATGCTGCCCCCACCACATGCCTGATTCGGAACAAATTGCAACAGATTGGCATCCTGGAAAAGCCCTCTATACCCTCTTCCGAGAATGTACATAAAACATATGGAACCTGGTGATAGGACCTCCTCGAAAAGGTAGCATGACCTGAGTTTCCATGACAAATCACTAACCCTCGAACAAGAAATCGGTGTCCCAATTGTCACCTGTAGAGATTTACCAACAGGAGAGGGGGAGTATCCAAGTCTCCCGGTGTGCCTTAGCTTTCCATTAAGATACACATAAGCAACACTAGCTTGAAATAATCCGGCCAAAGCATTTGGTTTGCTGTGAACGACTGCAAGGTGATGCCACCTGCCTTCCTCCATTTCCAGACCAGCAAAAGTCAAGGAGGATGAATTGCTTGTTGAAAGGGTTAGAAGCCCATCATCCCGAATATGAAGTTCGGCATAGAAGTTGCTGCCATGATCCACAGCACCAACAGAGAATATTCGAAGGACCTGGGCTTGTTGACCACTGGGACTATGCTTTCTGTAAGATCCAGCTTTAGGAGCTTCAGTCTCCCTTGTCGATGATTTTAGAAGATTTCGGAACTGAAACCAACAAACAAAGGAATAACCGGCAGCAGGAGGCCATGACCTTTCCCCCAATGGCACTTGAATGGAAGCATGTCCCATCTTGCTCATGTCCAACTCTACAAAGGGTGCAAGAGAAACATCTTCCGAACCCATATCCTCCGAAAGAATCAACCTTTCCATCATCTCAACAAGACAACGACCAGAACTTGCATGTCTCATTTGAAAAATAAACCTAATAAGAATTCTGAGTTCTGATACTGATAACCTGCCAATCAAGAATTGGGTATATCCTCGAGTCAATACAGTTTTTTCCCAAAAGGATACCAAGATATGAAAAGAGCAGTAATAACTACCATTACCTGTAGGCACCAAGAACTTCCACAATCTTCAGGGCATTAGAAACCAAAGGTGAAGCGCCAGACATGAACGGATGTATAATCTCCAAAAGAAGTTGCACACAACCTTAAAGCATTGAACAAAATTATTACACATGATTATCAGAATTAGTGAAAAGGACAAAATGGAACTTATTTTCAGGCTTTCAGCACATTCTCACCTATAGAAGTCAGATTTTCCTTATTGAAGGAGCTAGCACAAGCAAGCTTTTCAATAAGGTTTAGCAATTCTAGTTGCACCTTCGGCGTGAAAAGTAGCAAAGCGCGCATTAGGACTCTAATTGCAGCAGCATTATAAATCCGTTGCTTGTCAGGAACAAAAGAGCCTGACGGTGTAATCAAAAGAAAACTAGCTGATTCATTTCCAACATCATCAGATACTGTTGCAACTTCGGGTGCTAAAAATGGTGGAAGAACTACTTCCAGAGCAAGTTCTAGAAACAATTGTATAAGTTGACGTTCACATTCCACACAAATCAATCCAGACTCAGAGAGAAGATCATAAAAGGTCTGTGAAGATAGTATAATGTGCAGCTTTGTCCGGTTAACAGCATTATCTGAAACCCCAGCTGTCATTACACGCATCATATATGTGAACACCTTCACGCAAAGGGATTTTGATGGTTGTATTGTCTGCTCCCCATCACTCTGAAGAGAATGAAGTGTAGTCAATAAAAGTGAGAATCCAGTCGCTTCACCAAAAACCCTCTGAGCGGAAATATTAAGCCCCAATATGCGCCATACAGCTCCAAAAGCATCACATTTTGCATCATCTTGCAGAGTGTATTGGGAACCCGAAGCACTGGTAACCATCCCACTTTTCAATATTTCAACCACAGCACCCAATTCATCCGCATGAGCCTGAAAATAATAGAAAGTTCGGCAACATAATTATTAGATTTGAAACCTATTCGATTTCAAGAAAGAAACAGGATACATATACATGTTTCTTGAAACAAAACAAGTCATAAAACAAAATACAACTTAATTGGTACACTGAGCCCTAGAACAAATTTCACCAAAGGAAGTCCTAATTTCTAGTTGAAAAAATGTTTGAATAAGCTAACAAAACATTTATCCATGTAATGAAGAACACTAGTAGAGGATACATAAACTCATAATATATGCACCTGACATGGATTTATAGGAAGTTTTCCTAGAGAAGAAAAGATGATAAGATTGCATTGAAATGTGGCATATAAAGATGACTTTCCAATTAACACTTCACACAAGTTCACAACAGCACGGCAAATCCCTAAGGCACCATTCTAAGTATTAATGGCAAACTCTCAGCAATGTCCATACCACAATTATCTGTGACAACCAGAACTTAACAAGGAGAGTAAGGAAAAAATACTCTCTAATTTCCACCAGGATAGAATCTAAGATACAAAGCAAGGACAGAAGCAATAAGAAAGCTGAAATACAAAAACAAAATGATGGAAGAAATCGTTAATACCTGTTTGACATCCTCAATAATCAAACAAGATAATACCCTAAGGACACCTTGACGGTGGATATCAGAAGCCAAAAAAGGAAGTGCAATCGCCACTCCATTAGCAGAACGAAATGAAGCTTGATTGGTTTCTGCTTTCTTCAATAGTGAGACCAAACAATCCCAAGAAACTGATATTGTCCCCTCCACTTCAAACAGAAGGAGTTTCCCAGAACCAGATTCTAAGAGTTTCGGAGAAGAGAGAATCGCATTTTTGCTGTCCAAGTGCTTCTGAAAGCCACTGGAGCTTGTTTTTCGATCCAGCTGACTATCATCACCACTAAGCTGCTCGGGGCCCATCAAAAATTTGTGCTGCTTCAAATCATCTAACAGAACCTCCAGCACACCAACCTCTCTTAGGATTTTCTTGTACTGTTGGTCAAACGATAAGAGTTTCACGAAAAAGGACAGGATTGTATGCTTTAAATCAGAGGATATTGGTTGTTGCAGTAGGCAACAAAGTGAGAGCAGTTCTTGTTCAGGGATGATATTAACAACAGTCACTGCATATTCAAGAATTTTCAGAATTATCTCTTGGAGAGACAAAGGGAAACCAGCCATATTGAGGATCAAAAGAGGAACAGTTCTCAATTGTTGACACAACTTGTAGTTGTCAAGATGACTAGAGAACATCTTAAACATTCTATTCAGTACTTCTGCCTGCAGTTCTGTACTTTCAGCTTTAATTAAAATATCCTGCAGCATTTGAACAGCTTCTAAATCTCTGACTTTATCATTATCCTTCTCCCACATATCATCGGTGAACCTGTCAGAGGATGAAGTACGGCTTCTGCCATGCCCATTAGGCTTTGACTGATAACTCTTTGAAGCCTCTGAAGGACCTGTTTGAGCAAAATTAATGATGACATCAAGAAGTCTACAAAGGGTGGGGGAGAGACTTGGTGGTGAGTTGTTTCCTTCGATTTCTCTCGAGTTCTTTATATCCATCACCTCAGATGCATCTAAATAATCTGAGGCAGAATCATCAGAATTTCTGGAATTGAAAGTCTGGCCACCTCTATTCTTTGACAGGGTCAAAGCAAACTGGACAAGGAAGTGATACCCATGAGCATTATGAAAGTCTTCCCTAAGTCTGATACCGCCAGCCTCTACATGCAAAAGTTGCAGAAAATCAACATCTTAATCTATCAACCAAGAATGCTATAATATAGAATGCACGGCGCCAAGTTCAGGTAGACATAGAACGTATCAGCGTATTGAAATTTAAAAGTTCGGTACATTAAAGAACCAGTGCTTTTATGTCTCTGGTGTTGTAAAATAACCATTTCAAGCACCAGTACTAGTATGCTATCTTACCCGGTCTATATGACAGTTCAACACATTCAAGAAGCAAGTCCACAATGCTCATGGTATAGGCGGGATCTCCACAGTGAGGATCGAAATCCTTGACAGCCATCAGAAGCACTTTTATCTGCCACGGTATAAAATAAATAAATAAGAACCATCTANCTACCCAAGTGAAGGCAACAAGAACGGACACTATTTAAAGAACCAATTACACCCTAGCTATTTATTATACAGGAGTACCTACAACCCACAACAACAAAAAGAACTTAAATGTTTGAAATTAATAGAAGAACTAATCTATCTTTACTGATAACATGTTTTTAGACTCCTCACAGATACAACAACAACAAAAACATAGCCTTTTAGTCCCAAGCAAGTTGGGGTAAGCTAGAGATGAAACCCAAGAGAACCAATGGTAAGAGAAACACAAAAAGGGCTCGAAACAAAAGGACTCCTCACAGATCAGGTATCATAAAAGCAAAGGGAGTTGAGTCTTGTTATATTAATTATATTCTAGTTGTGACTATGTTGCTTGCTTGTCAGGCATTTTTTATCTTTTCACCAGGAAATATTCGCTTTAGTATTCTGTAAAAGCTACGTTACAACTATGGTTCATTTGAAGCTTATTTTGTTGCTTGAAATGATTATTTACAACACAGGAAATCAAGTCTTGGTACTTGATGCTTCGATAGAGAAACAGAGAACTCAAATAGTGTTCATTTACTAGAGAAACAGAGAAATCAAATAGTGTTCATTTAGTAACAAAAAACATAATTGAAAGGGAAAAAAATACATAAAGCCTGGAATGCTATTCTTATTGGTAACTGATTCAGAGAAGTAATAAGATTAACAGCAAAGATATGCCAAGGTCAGTACACATATACAGGTATGAACATGTTTATGTACCAGTTGATGCTTGTGTATGTACTTGGCAGTGCAACCAGTGTCATTTCCCAAAAGAAGACCAAGAACCTGCAAGAACAAAGGAATTTCAGTTCACCCAGCTTGTCCGTACAAACAACTCTTTTAAATTTAATAGCTGGTGAACAGCTTTTTTTACCTGCATGGCATGTCTGTGAAGCTGAATGGCATGCAAAGGAACAAGACCCTCCCTATATTGAGAGAACACTGCTAAAGAACCATTAGCAACCATTTGGAATAATAACTGAAGTGAATCATCCTCAATCAAACTTTGAGCAGCTGACGGATGACTGGCCAATGCTTTCATGATATGCACAACACTGCCTTCAATCTGATATGAATATGAGAGGTCAAAACTTTAACAATCAGGTGTGACACTTCCTCTATTACTATTACACTGCTTACAAAAAGACAGACACTCAAACCTTAAATGACATAAGACTTTTCTGATACCAAGCATGAAAATGTATTGAAATCAAAGCACACAGGGCAAGGGAATGTAACATGACATAAATTTTTTCGACCATGATTAGTAATGTTAAGTGCAGTAGGACCAGACAGACTAAAAAGCATATTTGGTGATAAAGACCCACGGGAGGTGGAGCACTGGTGAAGGTCATGGTAGAGTAAACTTTCCTCATTTTTCAACATTATTGTTACTCAAGTGGTACCTTTCACCCTTTATTAGGTTGTTGCATTAGTTAATACAGGGTTCGACTCCTGTATCTTGCAGATTCTTTGAAATTTAGACCCCTCTTGCACCAGTCCCCCCGTAACTATTAAAAAAAAGTTTAGTAATTTAACTACTGCAGACTTATTTAACATTAATAGCCTTCTAAGTCACACGGCCTGCTCTCACCTGTGCCTCGCACCAAGGCCCAAGAGTTATGTTATTCCAATTATTGACAAGTAGTTTATGGAAGTAATTTGTAATGTTTTTAAGAATAAACATGTTTCGTATGCAGGTTAACACATAAGCTAGCTTTTCTCAACTTCAGGTGGGGCCATTTTCACCAGAAAATAAAATAATCATCTGGTACTCTTAAACAAATAGTGCCAAATCAGTGGAGGAAGTAAAGACTTCTTAAACATGCAAGAATAAGTGGAGGGTTCAAGCAACCCTATCTAGCAAATCACATGATATTTGCACTAACAAAACACATCTGAAAACAGAAGATAAATGTATAGTTGGAGGTTAAATATCTTCAAATGCATTACCAAGGGTAAATATCACCAGAAAATTGGCGTAGATAAAGTGCCTTCCAGATGGGAAAATAGTTCGACGTGAAAGTAACAATTAATAAACTAAGAGCACCTCAAGCCGGCGAACAGGTCTGGATTCAGCACTATTAGCTTCATCAACTGATGGCACGTCTTTATTGTTTATTGGCTTTTTGGAATGACTTCCCCCATCAGGAGCAAGCAGAGCATTTAAGACATGAATGAGACAGCATAGAATCCCAGAATCAAGGAACGATTGTTTATCAATTGGCTGCAGCACATAATAATGCATAAGTATAAAAAGTAATAAATTGATGGAGTAACTCAAAGAAGAGCAAACAAGATGCGCTGACACAGAGTGACGAATTAAAACCTATTAGTTTAAACAACTTAGAATCAACAGAACACACATATCCACAACCTCGAGACAAATAATTACTTATGATAAAACATGGTCGGTTCTTCAGAAATAGAGAAACTTCCAGGTATAAGGAATTCAAATGTGATAATACATAATGCCATCAAACTGTGAGACCTGACCTCCAATATAGGAATCCTAATATTGTCGGCTTTTTCAGAAAATGGAAAAGGCATAAAATGCTGAAATGTAATAGATCTAAGAATCTTCTTTCATTTGAATAATACAGATAAGACCGAAGATTGCATGGAATCCCTTATAAATTGGTGAAAATTCAAATTAAATTTCCTCCAATATTGCTCGCGGTGTTAAGCAAATATCCATCATGCCAACTTCAGAAAATTTAAAATTAGGAAACTCGAATCAGAGATTTTCTATAAAAAATGTAGATAGCAAAGTTCTTGAATAGAAATTCATAGGTATTGATGCACAAACCCCAGATACAAGGACTTCCACTGCATGCAACAAATTCGCACCGGGTCTAATGCCATCCTGCAGAGAACTATGGCCATAAGTCACAGCGAAAACATACAATTTAAAGATCTAAAGTAAAGGAGATTAACTTTTCATGCCCGGCATCTCCGAATACCTTTGTAGTTTCTGAGAAGAACAACAAAACTTTCTCAGCTTCCAAAGATCTTGTTTTACTGCTTAGCTTCAGCTTTTCTATATCTGTTACAAATGCTCTCCCCACAACAAAAGAAAAAATGTGTGTCTCTACCAAGCTGCATTAGTTGCAATTCAGACATCAGAAAGTAATATTTCTTTCACAACAAAAGTTAACAACAAGACATCCAGAGAAAGACAGATATGTAAACTGACATACTTCTGATGGATAAAGTCTTTTAATAATACTTTAGTTTGGTAATGCACCTTTAAAAGTAAAATTGTTAACAGACAGGGAAAAGAATTATCCGGTAATTGATTGGAATGATTTGATAAAAATAATATTACTTTCACAACAAAAGTTAACAAGAAGACATCCAGAGAAGGACATATATGTAAATTGACATACTTCTGATGGATAAAGTCTTTTAATAACACTTTAGTCTGGTAATGCACCTTTAAAAGTAAAAATTGCTAACAGATTGGGAAAAGAATTATCCAGCAATTGAATGGAATGATTTGATAAAAGCTAAATAACAAATTCACAAGTTGGTCCATGTGATATTGCTGCATTTCACAATTATGAACTTTTCATGAAAGTAAATAAATACACCATTTCAATTTGGTCCTTTAGAACCTAACAAATAAGAAAATTTTGATGAACATATTGACTAAGCATCCAATTAATGCATTTTCAAACGTGAAGAAGTGACAATGAGCAGAACAGAAGACATTGTCTTCTTACATTGAAATTAATTGCGCAACGTTTGTGTGTTGCTTCTCTAATCTACAAAATATTTCTACAGTCCAATTCAAGGCTCTCTCCTTATCCTGCAGGTGTAGGAAACATGAAGATGTATACATCAAAGCAGTAAAAGTATATGTCATTCTTGTAGTAATTAGGTTATAGAAGCAGGCATAACAGTGAAAAATACATGTAAAGCTTTAAGCCTTTAACAACCTTGCAAGACATCTTACAATACCTTTTCAGAACTAGATGACCGGAACTCTTCCCAGTATCTCTTGAAATCCAGTTCCAATTCATGTTTGTCTCTGCTTTGACCAATACCAATAGAAAAGGATGGAAAATATTAAATCACATCTGGATTAGAAGTAAGACACTGATCCAAAAGCTTGAAACTTTATTAGAAAACTATGACGCATCGTCTATATCCATTCAGCCACGTATACGTTGGCTATCAACATATAGTATTATAGCATGTGCATTTCTCTGAGTCATAAATTTATTGCAATCAGTAAAGTCAAATGTCGGATACACACGTATCATAATGACAGTCCAACTCCTAGGTGGAAACAAAATCTCAAAAACAAGGTATGTCTCTTGAAAACCAGGTCTTCCAATATCTCACTTTATTTATGAAACACTATTACAACTCAATTGTCCTACTGGTAAAACCTACATATTAGCCAAAAATTATTAATCACTGTGCTGCAACTGAAAGGTTGCTTCTCACCATCTTCATCATCAGGACAATAGCAAAAAAAGAAAATGCAGTGATTAATTGATAAAACCACCACATTTGTAATATATATTTCTCCAGTTGGAAATTCATAGCGATGGCATACAGAAATATTGAACATAATCATTTTTATCACGAGAAACGGATCAAATAATAATATTACGTTTTTGCATCTATATGTCATAGACACCATAGTCCACCTACAGTCCCCGCCCCTAATTACACATACAATAACATCGAAATATCATCTTTTCCTGCAATCAGTTTTTTATCACCTATTGAACCTAATTACCAAAAATAGCCAAGCAGCTCTTTAGCTGACAAAATTTTACTTTTGAGCTAATTAATAAAGCAGTTGTTTGCCTAATTTTCTTCCCTATACAGAAACACGATAAGTCGATAACCTAAAACTGAATCAGAGCAAAATGCAAAACCAAGTTCCAGTCTTGGAAAATTCTTCAGTGTGTAAAATTCAAATTAAAAAGAGAGAAAAAAAAAATCCGACCTTGACGGAGATGACCAAAAGTCCGGGGTGGAAGGCGACAAATCGTTCGCATTGCTGCTGCTGCTTTCTTTGACGGGCGGCGATGGCGGAGTGGATGCCGAAGCTGCCGGAGCCTGGGAAAGACCAACTTTTTCCTTCAAGTCTTTAAGCAATGTTCCCCATTTCATCGTTTTCCTTCCACTTGATTGGCCAAACATGTACAGACCAAAATTTCAACCCAACACAACAGATGATGATAAAAATACAAAAAACAAGACAGCTCTCTCATCCGAGAGCCAAAGGCTCTCGCCGTCTCCCAACAACACCGATCAGATCCAAAATCCAAACCCTCCTAGATTCTCTCTAGAAGGATTTCCCAGCTCATTTTCCGAAATATATTCACAGAAATAAACAAAAAAAAAAAATCAAACAAAATGCAAACAAAACCAAATGTGATCAATCGGGCTGCAATTTGTAGCTCCAAGCGGCAAGATCTGTGTACACGGGCCGGCGTATATACGATTGAGGAACCAAATAATCCGATCTTTCTCTCTCTGTGTATAAATATTATAAGAAATCAATTTCCTTTGTAGAGGAACCCGAAATGTCAGTCAAACAACACAGTAATTACGTTATAGATTATCGAGGCGGTTCTCAATCTTGAATTGTGCCCTAGAAATTGGGAGCCTGAAGCAAAAAAGAAATGGAAAGCTTTAAGCGCAATTAGAAGAAGAAAATGCAGCGTGTTTTCTATCTCTCTTGTTTTCGGACGGCCTCTCCGCGCCTTGCTTCTCGCTCTATATCTCTCTTGCCATTTTTTCTCTCTCTGTAAAAATATCTATTTAAAAAATATATATTTTACGGTAATTTGAGTCTATCGATTTCGCAGTCACTTTTACTACTACTCTTTTAGGTGGTGGATAAGATTTTATTCCAATTCATATTTCATTGCGTTATAATTGATATTTTATTTTATTTAAATTTAGATTTCATAAAAGGTATGTAATATGAATTGAACATAATTTTAGAATATAAAATTTCATCCAACGTTAGAACTTAAAATCCCTCTCTATATATTAATTCAAAACATGTTGAGCCTAAATAGCAAATTTTTATGCTTCGGATACTGATACGGTGAATTTTTCTCTGAAGTTAAGCTTGGTATAAGACATAAATAACTTTTTTCAAACTTAGTAAGTGTATATATTTAATTTTGTTATTTTTTTTCTCTTAATACACATTTCCTTCTTAGTGTGGGCCACTACTAATCTTACCATATTATAATTTTTTTCTCATATTTTTCTCCTAAATTATGATTTACTAATCACTTTCTTCACTTTTATTCCTCTTTTTTTTATCAATTAGTCCATCAAATTTTTTAAATACAAAATTTATTCTAGCAATAATTTTTAAATAAAATTTTTGTTTTAGCAATTACTTTTATCATATATATCTTAACTCACCTGTGTAAGTATGAACTGAAACATAATTTTGGAATAATAATTTTCATCTCATGATATACATATTTCATATTTATGTCATATTCTAAATAAAAGTATAATATTACATGCAGCGACGGATCTAGGATTTTTATCTAGGGGGTCTAATTTTAAATATAAAATAACGAGCTTGTAGTTTAAATCAAAACACTCATTTTATATAAAAATGTGTTTACTTATAAACATAAATATCGATATATGTATCAAGTTTTAAAAAATTTAGAATCTATATCACCATCAAAATTTTACAAAAATAAACAAAATATAATAGATTTCATGTATTTATAATTTAATTTCAATATCTTTAATTTATAAAAAAAAGTTTTTTTATTTAAAATTTTATTTAAATTTAACATTTGCAGCACGTTGCATTGCATTTTTATTGATTAAAGTTTATCAAACGACCGCATTTTTTTAAGAAAAAAATAAATAAAATTAAAAATGTGTGATTACATAAAAAATAAAGTAAACAATAAACATTCAAAAATCTAACAATCCAACTAAATACTCGGTTTTATAAATCACTAAAGCGATTTACAATTAAGTGGCCGAAAGAATAAATCGTCATAAATATATTTAAAAATTTATCTAATAATGTGAAATATAAGGATCATTAGTATATTTTTCAATAAATAACATAGAAACTAAGTTTTAATTATTTATATTAATATAAATTAAAATATCATAGAAACTAAATTTTAGTATTTTATATATTATGAATATTTTTTTGTATTTTTGTCCATATTTTATAGTGTTTTCTTTTATATATATTTTTTAAGAAAAAATGAGGAGGTCCATGGCCCCCCTGGACCCCATTTAGATCCGTCTTTAATTACATGATATAAATATTTATTTTTGTTATAAAAATTAAAAATCGACCATCGAACAATGAGGCCACCTTATACAATGATTTGTGTTAAATTAAAATATTGTATTCTAATAAATATTACATAAATAAAAATAATACATTTCGTAGTTTATATACTATTTTGTTAATAAATAACAAATTGGTCTGTCTAAAGATGAGACTGAGTGATGTATAGTTTGCTTGGATATAAAGAACTCACATAATTTGTAATCACTTTTCACCATCACTTTCTGTAATTTAAATTATAACTCAAATTTAATTCAACTATATTATTCTAAATATTATCGATAAAACTAAATAATGTCAATCAACATTCTTACACATCACATAAACTATAATTCATTATTTATCAACTCACAAAATTTAATTACTCATCACTTTTAATCACATCTCTATTACTTTTACGTAAAATTAACTTTAATTATTTTATTTAAAATATTATGTATTACAAATCTGAAATTTCATTCAAACCTAATTCAATCATTTTTTTTAAATGAACTATAAATAATCAAAAATACAAATCAAAAACAAAATATCCCCTCCCGCTCCCCCTATATATTTATTCGAAACGTACTGCGCCTAAGTGGCAGACTCACTATTAGGTTTTTATGTGGCAAATTACATAGTTCACTATTAGGTTTGGGTAGATTTTAATTTACTTTTAATCCAAAAATATTTAGGTATTAACATGTTGATTATTTATGGTCATGTTACATGCATTAATTGCATTTTAATATCATTTCTTATTATAACTATTGAATTATAAATGTACTAGTATTCGACTTGTGCATTTGCACAGATATAAATAAAATATTGTGAGTTATTTGTATGCATATAATGATTAATGATTTTTCTTGCACTTTTTTGCAGGCCAAATTTACAATTAAAGGAGCTGGAATATTTACTTTTTTAAATTGCGTATATCATATTGGATGTAATGTATATTTTGGTATGTATTTTTTTTGTGAATTATTTATTATTTATTTAGAAATTCCAAATACGTTTTTTATTTTTCAAAAGAAGTTAGTTTAAATGTAACCACAACAATAACATCTAATCACGTTAAATAGTCAACATATTATATGGTCATCTTTAAGTAAACCAATAGTTTATGATTTTTGTAATTTTAAAGTGATTAGTGTGTTGATTATCTAATAATTAAATAAGAGGTTAAATAAATAAAAAGTAACGGTTTTTGGAGGGAAAAAGTTATATTGCCACATAGTTATAATTTAATAGGTTTTATTAAATGCTCATTAGCCAACAATTATATATATATAGATTCTAAAAGTTAGTAACTTTTGTATTTTTTATCAGTTTTACATATATAATATATCAAATTAAGCATCTCTTGAGCTTCGATTTAACACCTATATTGTATGTAAAAATAAAATATATTTGTCTTTATAACAATAATAAAATTATTTTTTTAATAATAATTAGAAAAATAAAATTATTTATCAATTAATATATTTATATTTCAAGTAGTTACATGATATAAGTTATTAAAATTACTATAATAAAACACATGTAAGTCGCACAAGTAACAAATGTCATTATAAAATATATAATAATATATTTTTTTAAAAAAAATATAAATAAAATCTAAAATAATATTTCGCATTAATTTTAAAAATTAAAAATAATTTTTTAACAAACAGTCGTGTGACACACGGGTGGTGTAGTAATTACAAACTTATATCAAAATTCAAAACACACCCGTGTCACACGGGTGGTGTAGTAATTACAAACTTATATCAAAATTCAAAACACACCCGTAAGAATTTGTGATGTATTTATTAAACAGTGCATTGTACTTTTTTCCTTTTCCTTTCCCTTTTTGCTTTGTTGATTGATTGTTGTTCCCAAAAATCGCGATGTGCCACGTAGGCGTGGATCGATGCCTGGCAGTCTGACACGTGGCACGCGCAGATCGATGCCCGCAACGTGAAGCCCTGTCGCTTTTGCTTTTTCTTCCCTCTTCTCTTTCTTATCTCGTGTTGGTTTTTTATTTTTAATTAAGTATTAGTACAATATCTGTGTATTTCACCGGTGTTGAATTAGAAAGTTTTTATAAAAAATATTTAATTTTTTTTTTAAAAACTAAATAATTTAATTTTATATAAAACATTACTTTAAGTTTTAATTAAATTGTCAAATTATATTTTTTAATCACAATAATTAAACACCCGTATATTAAATAAAAATGTCAATCCATGTTGAATTTTTTTACTTATATCATATAAAAATATCGATATTATTTACTATTATATAAGTAAAAAAAATATATATCTTAAGTAAATAGAAATATTATGGTGATATGTGTATGCATAAGTGTAGAATATGTTTATTTAATATTAAGTAAAATAGATTAAATGTTTTTACTTAATTAGATGCCTAAAGTGTCGTATCAGTACAGTTTTTTAACTTGATATGTAATTTTAGAATTTATATAATAATTATTTATTTTTATTACATTGACAACATATCAATTAGATTTGAAATAAATATCATTTTTAATCGAATACATACTAATTTTGATTACTTTATAATAAAATTTATAGTTTATTTGATATAATTTATTAGTTTGATAAATAAATTTAAATTTTATCTATAAAGATATATATTACTATTTTGTATCTATTCATAGATAAAAGTAGTTTATATCCTTATTAGTAATATACTACTAATATGCTTAATTCATAGATAAAAGTATTTCATATATATATAAATAAATAGTAAAATACAAACAGACTCCATAATATCAATTCAAATGTAGCAATTAATTAAGATTTTTTTTTTTTGACAATATTAACCATATTTAATGGATGTTATGGGTAACGATGGATATGAGATATGAAGAGACACTGTGTATTAGATGGAGTGTTACAAATGGAAAAATATGAACAAAATATATGAAACGACATTTATTTTATCAATGATCAATTAAGCCAAAGCGACAAATAATAAAAATAGGAGGGAGTAAATATTATTTTATATTTTAGTATGACACATGTTACTTGTGCGACTTATATGTGTTATATTATAATAAATTTTCTACCTTATAACATATAACTACATTAAACATAAATATATTAATTGATAAGTATTTTTATTTTTTAATTAATTTTAATAAATAATTTTATTATTATTATAAAGATAAATATAATTTATTGGTTTTATATATATAATATGGATGTTAAATCGAAGCTCATCAAAAGATGATTAATTTGATATATTATATATGTAAAACCGATAAAAAATACAAAATTTATCAACTTTTAAAATATATTTGCAATTCAATGGTTATAATAGGAAATGATATTAAAATACAATTAATACAAATATTAATTTATATCGAAACCTAACTCCAAAACATGATTTTTTGCCAAATAGGATTCCAAAGCAAAAGAATTTGCCACGTAGGCTCAGCGCATTCTGAAATTATATAATGATGAGGGTAGGGGATGATTGTAGTTGTTAATTAATAATTAGCCAATTAAATCAAATTTTTTGAGCG